ACGTACCTTGCGACCTTTCCGTATTGGTATGGGTATGCACAGACGAGGTCAGATCTTGCCATGGGCTTCTCACTATTGCCAGGACCTGGTAATGAGACCCTCGTCAATGTGACCTTCGACATCGCGTCACGTGGTATCAAGAAAGAACTTGACAACCTGATTGTGGGTAAGAGCTTGGGTGTGTGGGGGTGTTGGGAGCAAAGTCCAATCGGCTGAACAAAAATGCAGTCCGGTTCCGTAAAATGTAAAGGAGCGATTTAACTCAAACGTAACTGTTGTATGTGTTTAAAAACAATTGAATTGTGCAACAGTCCACATGTTGAACCAAGGAATAGTCAAATCCAGCCCTCCAGGAGTGCACAACCTTAGCACCCGATTCAGTACTTCTAAGGTTGTGAATGCCTGTGCGCTCCATTTAAATGTTAGCTCCTTTTTCACCTAATTAAAAATGCTGGTCTGTCTCCACTAAATTCTGGATTCAAACTAGACATTCAATTTGGCAAAGCAAAGTGCCCCAACACTGCTTTATTTGTGCCCCTGAAAGAATGACAACCGCTATTCTCAACTAAGCGGTGGTGACATCACCACCGTCCTTACGCCAGGCTAAGTGCACATTGAGGCCATGTGAAGTGTATTAGGCTCACTGGCAAGTCAAGGGCCAGATCCAGGGGTTATGGATAGACTCATTGAGCTGACTGGCAGATGCACCACCAGTGCTCTCCACTTTGCAAACTCTCTGTTTTATTCATAAGAGGTTTTAAACTCACTGTGTTTTAGTCGCCCAGCGCTCTGCTCACTATTATGAGCAGCACTCCTCTGCCCTCCACTGTTGTCAAAGGACGACTGACTCCAGCTGCTCAGTTGTGTCGTTCACGAACCTCAACAGGACGATCTTGACACCACTGGTACCAGTCATCGGCAAGTTTAATCAGCTCCATATAATTCTGTACCTCATTAGCCCATCTGTGTTATAGCCTGTGCCATGCCCATTTAGCCCCCTGTAACTAGCGAAGAATATGCTGCTTAGGCATGCGGTGGCTCGGCATGTGGGCTACATGACCCAGTCAACGCAGACGAGCCTGTTGAAGGAGCTCACTGATTGGATTGTGTCCAGATCTTTCAAGGATTTGTGTGCTCCTCACATTAATAATAAATATTAAAATGAATTAATACTATAAATAGGTACACAATGTGTAAACGCAATACACAGTATTTTACAGACATAAATTGACCGTGGCTGAAAGCAAAGAGCCAAGCTGAGTGACCCTTAAAAGCCATGCAGAGAAGGTAGGAGAGTTCCACTGCTGAGCTGTAGCACAGCAGGGTGACAAGAGAGCACAGAGAGATGTGGCGGACGACTGCATGATTGTTTCAAACCGGCACAGATGTGCCTTGAAAGACCTCCACGTTTCACAAGCAGATATTAAGGAAGGCATAACTGTGGCTGACAAGACCCGGAGCTTCATATGGATAAATAAGTCCGGTAGCTTCCACACAGCGTTGTGCAGCTGATGGAAAGATCATGCTGCTCAACTGATTTGGAACGTGACCTCTGCTGCTAAACTGGAGCTAGCCATAAGCAAATTGCCCATTGACTCATGAGGAGTAAATGGGGATGGAGTATTTGAGACATACAATACTCACTTGATGTAGCTATCTTGGTGTGACTGTTCCACCTGAAGACGGAAGCTTGTGTTGCCTCCGAAACGTCGTGATTTAATTTAGTTGTTTTATTATTATATTATTTTATTTTTATTTTACCTATGTGACTTTACCGAAAAAAACAAGGAGTATGAATCCTTGCAGTCATGAAAGCTTCAAATCTAGAACTCAGGAAGGTGCTTTGCATTTGTGGGATTTATCTCTTACTAACACGTTCCAGGTTCAGCAGTAGAGTCTCTAACTCCTCAGAATGAGTAACAATGAGGAGATCATCAGCATATAGACCATAGTTGACAAAGAGGAGGACATTTATAAGGCCCCCATTGCATCTGTATGTCTCTGCTACAGCCATCGATAGTGTTTTAAACTACGTGGCCAAAGAAAATGTTAAATAGTGTAGAGGCTAGAGGACATTCATGTCGAACTCCAAGTTTAACAGGAAATGTCTCCGAATTACAGCCATTCACAGAGTACGGGACCCCGAAAGTATTAATAATATCCCAGAGCCATAACCTATTGATGGTATCAAAGGACTTGACCTGGTCAATTAAGCAGAGATATATGTTTTGTTGATACTCCCTATACCAACCACTGTTGTGGCAGATATACAGATAATATGGCATCCATGCAGGACCTCCTCGGTCAGAAACCACATTGTGTTTCCACAACATTCTCTTCAGCATGCTTGGCAAGGCGATGTGAAATTATCCTTGCCAGGACCACTCCTAACACTCTGAGGAAGGATATGCCCTTGTAGTTGTTGCAGTCAGTATTTTCCCCTTTCTTGGAAATAGGGACCACCTGGGCATCTTTACAATTTTTCAGAACCTGTCCTGTATGCCAGAAAGTTGTAATGATGTCATGCAAGGTCTCAGCAAAGTCAACCCCACCTTGCTTCATGATGTTATCTGGGATAAGGGATTTTCCCTCCCTCAGAAACCTCACAGAAACGCTCAGCAAACACGATAGCCTGTCCCTGGGGGTCCGAGATCAGTTCAACATTGTTTCCTTTATGGATGGTAACAGATGTGGTTCTGCAAGTTACTTTTTTATGGAATTAAAGATGAGAGTGATTTATGATTGAGCTCTATTGAGACAGTTTCCATCTAATCACCAACTAACGATAACCACTCACGTCTCTCTGAACCTCCGAGCGAAGGATGTGCTAAGCAACCTCATTCTCGGAAGTGGGAAGTTGTAAATAACTGGAATACATCCTTTATCGTCCAGGGTATATGGGGAAGTTTGGACTGCGTACCCAATGCAACCATTGCAGCTGCATGAGCCACAATGAGGTGGAGGGGGGGAAGACGATGCCAACCCCACCTGCAAGCGATAATGATATGTTCACTTGCAACCTTCATGAAGTAGCTTAGACCAGGTTGTTGTGGTTTTTGAATTGTGTCATAGAGGGATGCTCACCATCGCAATGAAAGAATGGCAGGTGCATCTTACAGATGACCAGCCGATTGTCAGTGGACAAATCAGCTCAATGGTAGCTTCTGGTATCAAGGACATGGGCTCGCTTTCACTGTTCGGTAACTTTATAGTCCAGCAGATGTTCTTGCTTCAAACTGGCATGCATCCATGATGTTATGTGCAAGCGCTGATGCTGGAACAGGAAGTTGTTGATTACAAGCCCATTGGCTGTATAGAAGCCTAGCAGCCTCCTACCGCTGTTAATCTGGCCCTTGCCTTCCAATCACTCTGCCCAGGTGCCTCTGTCATGACCCAATCAGGCATTAAAGTCACCCAACAAGACTACTCTATTCTAAGAGGCAACTTCAGCTGCCTTAGATACCATATACTGTAAGGCATCTGACACATCAGCGTTGCCTGCTTCCCACCACTAATGTTCGTTCATCTTTAGAGGGGGCATAAGCCACCACCACCATTCCTTACCTACTGTTGATAGGGAGATGAACCCATACGAGCTTGGGACTCACAGCTTCCCACAACTTGATTTCACGCTCCCACACCCCCTTTTTTATTTTGTTCAAAAGAAGAGCTACTTCCTATTTGGTAATTATCTACCCCTCGTGGTGACCGGAGCCAGAACCAGTCCACATGTATTCCAGAGATCAAGTTGATACCGGTCCAGCTTCCAATAGAGGAATGTCAGCCTCTCTTTTGCAGTGAGCATTTGGACATTCCACGTGGCCAACCTCAGCGGTTTCCTATTTTATTATTGAGGAACCCTGAGGGGCAGGGGAGACAGTTTGGCTCCGCCAAATGAGGTTTGTCCAAAAGACGTCATGGATGCCTATTTCCCCACAGTTTACAGCACAATCTTATTTTGGTATTTCCCACGTTAATAGGTAAGGTATGTATGTATGTATGTTGAACGTATTTCGCACCGTAGTCAATTTGTTAATTGGAGGTAATTAATGTGGAGGGGTTACCAGACCCTAGCATACACGTTAGAGCACTGACAGGCTTAAATACATAATCTAACACGAAGCGACACACATACACGCACAGCTATACAAATGTATAAATTAACAAACTGCTACACACGGACAAGAAATACTATACACATGCGCTTACATTTTTTACTGTGTCAAAAATAGTGACGGGAAAATAATTAATGATCCCTACCTTTTCAAATCTCTTTACCTTGACAGATATATACAGGGTTTCTGAAAAGTAACTCCGTATTTTGAAGCATAATCACTCCAAGAGTAATATAGATAGTGTAACCATCTTGCCATTAATTACAAGTTCAACCATTACACATTTATTTGAGCTCCACCACATTTTTCATTAAATATTCCTACATGGCTTGATGATAATTGCGCCAGTCAATGGATAGGTCATAGAGGGCCAACAGAATGGCCTGCTAGAAGTCTTGATTTAACAACTCGTGACTTCTTTCTGTACGGTTCGGTCAAAGAATAAGTTTAGAAATCGCAAACAAGGACCATTGATGAATTTGAGATTACAATTTGTGAGGTGCTATTTAACATGCCAGACATTTTTTTAAATAAATTTGCCCAAAATGTACCTTTAAGGTTACAGAAGTGTATTGCAAATGCTGGCACCTATGTTGAATTTTAAGTTTGTATAAAGTAAATGCTAATAAAGAATGTATAAAATCAGTAAAATAAATGTATTAATATCTTATTTAGTTTTGGAGGAATGAAGGAATACTACTTTAAAAATCGGATGAAACGACTTCATGAGTATTCTTATTTTCTTACATTTCAGGCACAACGACTATGGTCACCTTTCCAAATGTAAGTTTAAAACAATATTTTTCCAACAATAAATGGAATGACAGTAGTAACACATGTGAAATCTTTGAATGTAATAGTGCCTGTGGAATGGCTCATGTCACATGCAAGAGCATAGTGTCCAAGATGCTCCTGAGATGTATCGTTGCAATGAATCATTGGCTTAGGCTCTACTCTTAAAAAACAGCAGTATGAATCCAGCTGCTAGAATATTATATTTTCTTTTTAAACGTTAACTCTAACTTAAACCTAAGAAAAGTTAAATCTTGATTTAAAGCGTTCGTGACTGCAGGAATTCATACTCTTTGGGTCTTTCTATGTACGTGACCTTACTGAAAAACCCAAAGAGTATGACTAAGAAAAGATTAATAGAAATCACGTAGATTGCCATGTTTGTACTGACCAGTTTTATGTCTGTGTAAATGTTTCAGATGCTGAATAGTGATTGGTTCATGATGAACCTGGTGGCCAAGTCTGGAAACCAAGAGCTCTTCAACACGTCGCTGTATACTGGATATTTTCCTTGGTTAAACATCATTATTCAATGTGATCGATATTTCTATCAGCCGGGTCAGACAGTTCAGTGCATATTATTTGGTGTCTATGGCAATCGCTTGCCTTACTTGGGACGCTTTAACATCTCTCTGCAGGTTTGTTATTCTCTGAGCTGCCGTAATTGTAGTTATAAACATAACCTTGCGTGTAAAGGACATGCACTTGTTCATTTTATACATATTGCTTCTATATATACAGTTATTATCATGATGTTTTAATTGAACCATTCTGGAATATAATCATCAAATGACCAATTTCTAAATTGAAAAATGCATTGTTTAGGCAAGTAACATTGGCTAATGTGTATATAAGGGCTCTCTTGGCTAACTGTGCTGATGCTACTGGTCTTCAGAGTTCTTTGGGGGACGTAAAGAAGACCTGGCAGAATGTGCAGGGAGAGAAGGGAATTGTATCCCTGCAGTACTCACTGTCTGAGACGGCGCTAGAAGGATACTGGTATCTGCAGGTGGAGGCAGAAGAGGTAAGAAATTAATGATACCAACTCCCCGCTTTCCTTTGGTGAAAAGTCCTGCAAAATTCAATGAGGAAAGGGCATGCAGATTTTAAAACCGCTCTTAATAAGTGACGACGTATCTGAAGGTAACCCAGCAGAATAAAAACATTTCTCCAGATTTGTTTTACTACTAAAACTAGAGGCTCATAGTACTGGTCATCAAGGCTCAGTCTTTAATTTATATTCCTGTTGGAGGGGTTGGGCACAACAAGGTTGTTAGGGTCATGCTCTGCTAATTAAAAATCAATTCCACCCGTTAGAGAGGACTTTGAGCTGTTTCTACCGTTTACAATATCAGGGACATCCCAGTGTAAGGAAAGCCGTATGTCTATAATGTTCCTGATATACTGTCTCCTGTAAATTTCCATACCAAAATTCGCCTATTTTTCTGAAACAGTTAAGATACTTAAACATGATCGGAGGCCCTGCATTATGTACCAATGCTGCAACATTGCTGCAGCTGTGAGTCAGAAACTAAGGATAACAATGTTCCTATTATGTACATATAGTAACCTATAAATACCTTTAAAAAATGCATGAAATATGTTCCATATTGAGTAAATGTTGTGTCATGGCATAACCACCAAAGTCAAACAATCTTATAAAAAAGTGCATGAATATACTCTCATAACTAAGGGTTGTAGTCGAAATATTGTAAATTTTAATTTGTCATAAACCAGAGTCCTTTACCATAAGGTCTTTCTCAACATTTGGGACAGGTTCACCTAGAAGGTTGGTATGGAAGCCAGAATACCTCTATTTGTGCTGCGTTCACAATGTTGCTTACAGTAGCTTTAATAATTAATAACGAATATGGGAAGGGTCTAGCTCTGTATATATGTTTAATTCTGATCATTTTGTTTCTTTTAAAGCACGGAACCAATAGCTACTGGAATGCATTTGAAGTAAGAAACTATGGTGAGTACTGCAACATTTAAATAATGTTTTACCAATCGCAAGCTTCCTATTTTGATGTACAAATTATAATAATCTCAACATCACTCGGCCTTAAGATTTGCATTGAACTGCCCATATAGGACTCACCACTGTGATCCCTACATTGGGTCAAACTTAACATCTCTTAATGTTCGACGGCTTGTGCACCAGATCTTATTTATTCATGATGTACTTACAAAAAAATCCGCAGACTACCTACTGGATCTCCTCTCTGTTTGAAAGAGCAAATTTGACCTCAGGTCTTCGCTCATTTACCAGCTTCACACTCCCTATTGCCGTACAAAAACCGGAGGAAGGGCCTTTGCTATTGATGCCCCCAGGGTCTGGAATGCTATTGCCAATAAACTGCAACTTGAATCACTACCTATGAGATCTTCACTCAAAACTGCTCTAGAGGAGTTGTACACCCCTAGCTGCCACTGCTATTCAGTGGCCTAAAATATGGCTCTAGGGTTTGGTGTTACATGTTATTTATGTAGTTTATTGTTACAAAAATTCGGTCACAGTCCCTATAATCACTATTACATTGCATTTATGGCTTTTATTTTGGTGATTTCGAAAAGTTTTTTTGGTTTGGCCATGTTTTTGTTTATTGTAGTACGGAGATAGACTGATGGCCTTAATCTTAGTTGTCTTGTGGTTGTTGTTGTTATTGTTTGACTTGCATCCCACTGGGATTTTTGCACACAGCGTTGGTGTACGGTGCTATTTCAGGAATATTTAGATGCTTTTTTCCTGGATTTTCTGTTTGCACAGTCACATACTCACTTTAAGATGTTTTCTTGTTCATGTTTTAGTTTTTTGTTTGTTGTGGTTGCACCCGATTCAAGAGCCGAATGGCTCACAGGGCTATACCAAATAAATGGAACTATGGAACTAAATGGAACATGTTTGAGCACAGCTACTTCAGCCTCAGATTATCCCATTAATTTTACTCAAGAAACGTTCAGAGTTGAGACACCAACCAAATGCAATACATATGGTGGTTGTTAAATGTGTTGGCAAACAAACACACTTTTTGTCATTGCACCTTAAATTTTGATTGCTTCAGATACCACTCCAGAAAAAGTGCAAATGTGTCTGTCAATAGCTATTCGTATTTATGCATACAGTAGTTATGTATGAATTAATGTGTACTAATATAGATGTATATATTAGAACGCGACCCAACTGGCGCGGATCATTCTGTTGTCATGTCGTCCAAGCGCAGTGAGGACGAATGCACAGAAGAAACAAAACTTTGATTAGCGCACCATGTCGAGCTCGTTGAGAGGAATAGATTGCCGTATCGTTCACATTCAACAGACGTAAAATGACGTCGCAACGCAGTTTATGCGAGAGCCGGGGGCTTATGGGACCCCGGGGTCCCGCCATAAGGTTAATATATAAAAAACAACTATTTCAAAGGGTCTTGGCTTTGGATATTTGGATAATTTAATTTTTATTATGTATGAATGTTGAACTTATTTCACACCGTACATTCCCAACCGTGCTAATCGAATAATTTGGCATTTCTGAGAAAACACACAATCGAGAGGATAAGACTCAAAGGTTCAGAATGATGGGCTGTCCACGCAATTAATACAACCTGGCTGCTTATGATGGTGATTAGATACTCTCACAGAATATCCATAGACAATAATTTGCTGAAGGAATTATAAAACTAGCTAAAAAGTTACTTTTCTGAAACCAATACCATTAATTTGACATCCTGTACCAACCAGCCTGTCTTACCTTGTGCATTGCCTCCTGTTTGTTAAATGTTACTTTTTATATTTCATGTAGGAGAGATTGTGATTTGTTTATGAAGGGAATTACGTGTAATGTTGCTTTTCCTGTAGGAAATCAAGCTTGCCGGAATGGCATATATTGTTTCTTGCATCATATATTGTTTCTTTCATAATCTATTTTAATATATTTCCGGACTTTAATGCGTTGTTATACCATATGCAATACAAATATTTCTGCTTTGAAGCACAAACACGCCTTCTGAATCAATGTATATACTTAGACTTACAAAGAGTTTACTATATTTTCTGACATACATGCTTCTCCTCTCTGCAAATCTTTAGTGGATATTGTGCTCATTGACGTCCCACGCTACTTCGATCTCAGTGGAAGTGACGACCTCTCTGGAGTGATATCTGCATGGTAAGTTCACATATTACATAACTCTCAAGGCTGATGCATGAGTAATAATTCTCAGTCTCACAGTACCACAGGGATATTTCACAGGACTAAGAAATTGCTCTCCATCCCAAACAAACGGTTTTAATTTCCATATATTTCCCCTTATTACTGAACAAAAAAATCGAGACACAAGCGTGTCCAAACTTCGTATGCTGGAGGCCAGGCACAGTGGCACAATAACAGCAAGGGCAGTGAAATGGCCTAGTGGTAGCGAATTTCCTGCTTGGTGCAGAGGTTTACAGTTCTAATCCAGCAGCCACCCTTGAACTTCTAAATTGAACTTCTTTCACACCGTACATATTCAACAGTCCTAATCGGAAGTATTAACCCTGGTTATTACTGTTGGTGTTATAACGCACCATCTGCATTTTAATAATGTGTGCGGTCTGCTTTACAGTGGATGTTCAAGATAATCTAACGTAATATTCAAGAGTAGGCCATACAATTGTGTGCTGGGACCATGGTCCACATTTGCCGACAAATGAATCAATTGGGATTATACAAATGATCAATATTTGCTCCCTACTGGCAAACTGATGCCTGTTTGCAGGCCAGGTGCTGGGTCACATTGTGCCCACAGGGATATCTGCACATGTGTGCACCTTTTCCAATGACTGAAATGAGATGTGATTTACAGCCCTTTGATATGAGGGCTGTAAATGAGAAATAGGGCTCTCAAGAGATAGCGCTGATACTATTTCTCCAATCCTGGGTGAGATGAAGCACAACTCACTGACTTTCATCATAAAGCTTCTGATTGAGATCTGCCTACACTGGCACAAAGCATGGCAGGTTGATGAATGGGGTTGGCATGGAGCCCATGGCATAGACGGTGGGAAAAGGTCCAAGTGGATTCAAACATTAGATATGGCAGAATAGCTTACGCTTGGCTTCAGGAATGGCCAACCAGACTTAAATGAAAGATTCATTTGAAAAACTCGTGAAAGTTGCGTGTTAAAAGATTTGTTACACTCCATTTAGACAATGCAAAAATCTGAATATCATGCAAGATAATCTGATCTCAGAACATGTAATACAACATGTTTAACTAAAATGGACCCGATTTCAAATTGCTATATCTCTGCAACCACGAACCGCTCATGAATTAATCTCTTACCACTTGGAAGAGCGGGGCATAGAGTTTCAAATGATTACTGCTAGATGCCTCTCCCAGCGCACAAATAGCCCCTAGCCTCAGTCATTCGCCAGATGATGACCCCGCAACAAACGGCGTTTTGCGTTCTAGAGTTCAGCAGAACTGAATCCGTAATTGCGGTGCAGCGTGCGTTTCAACGGCGTTTTGGCATTGATCCGCCAATGTCAAAGAGCATTCGTCGTTGGTACCGACAGTTTGAGGAAGCAGGCTGCTGTTTATGTAAGGGGAAGAGCACAGGGCGACCACGAACCTCAGAGGGAAACGTGAGAAGAGAGGCATTTAGGACGAATCAACTATCATCTCGATGTTGTCCGTACAGCAGGTGGAGGGCACATAGAGCATTTATAAAATGGTTAGTAAAACTTGATAACTCATTAAACCGTTTGTAACTTTTTGTATAATTGTAACATGTTGCCATCGTGAAATATACTGCTTTGAAATTGGGCCCATCTCTTTTAAACACCCTGTATTTATGTAAACATTTGTAAATGACAAAGTGTTTATGAACATGCTTAGGTACCAGGGCAAGACCTTCAAAGGCACAGCAACTGTCACCATCGGTCCATATTACAACTCTAATGCATGGATTACGAAGGATGTGAATGTAAGAAAAACAATTGCAACCTAAACCTTTACATACACAGCAAGTATTTCTTGAGGTCTCCTTTGCCCTAACATGTATTTGGATAAGGTGTTCATTTTGATGACTAAGCCACTCATGCAAATGAGGCAATCTAGGTCTAATAGCCCTGGCTGCTGAGGGAAAGTGGTAACTGCAGTATTCGGCAGTACACATGTCAGCAGACGACAGTATATATGGGGGGAAGACAACTAAGGGATAGTTCATGGAGGTGTCTACCTGGAAGCCCCTGGAAGCTGCTAGTAGGTTACAGAAAGGGGGAATGGCCAGACAAGAGCAAGGCCACGCCAGGAGCATAAGAGGGAGCCCTGAGCGAGAGCTCGGGGCTGTTGCTGGAAGTGGATCCCCTCACCGTGCTGTTTTGCCACCATCATCGCCACCGTCATCGCCACCGTCTTCACCATCACTGGGCGCCGCTACCTAGACAGCCTGCCAACTGTTCTAGCTAGATAGTGCCGCCGATAATAGAAGGTTGTGTCTACAATATATAGTGTGCACCCATGTAGGGTGCGTTTAGACCCATTGTGTACAAGAATAAATGAAGGTGCCTCCAATTACTGTCTCCGAACTGCGTCACTACACTTGTTTAAACAAAATTGACGTGAAACTTGGACAAATTAAGAATAATAATTGGCAACACTATTGTTTGCGATCGTATGCTCGAATTGTTTTACCATTTCTATGTGCAAAAAGGACAAAGACCACCCGTATAGTCTCAACAGACTGTAGGGGCAAGTGCTGTTAGCGAGCACCTATGAAGGCCGGAACGGTACACGAGGGGGTGGGTGGCCAGCACCACGCCCGACCGCATTTGTCTCCCCAGTGGCGATGTTTAGATACCACACCAGGTACTCATTTGAGGCTGAATCGACCTAGGGGAAGCCCAGAACCAGTTAAGATAATAGTCACTGCTGTTGGCCGTGAGCAGGTATCGAACTCGGGTGGCCGGGTTCGTAGTGCAGCGCGCTAACCGCTACACTACCACTCCCCACTATATGCACATTATCACTTAACACCAACAATAACCGCCATTCTCCACTCAGTCGCGATGTGCCAAACAGAAGCTGCTTGGGCATGCAGTGATTGGGCATGCAGGCTACATGACCCAGCCAAGGCAGCCTCGCCTGTCAGAGGGCCTTACTGATGGGACTTTCCAAATGTTTTAAGGTTTTGTTAACTCCTCACACAATCCAGTTTTTTTTTTAATCTGAGGATGGATCATAGGCAAGCCAGCATAAATGTTTCAACCCAGCACAGTTGTTCCTTGAAATCGGTCAACATTTCACAAGCATATAGAATAGAGGGAATAAATGTGTTCAATATGATTCTGAGTGAAGTATGGAGTGATATGACAGGTAGCTTCTACACAGCGTTATGCAGCTGATGAAATTATGCCGCTTGACTAATTCAGAGGGAAACCTTCGCTGACAAACTAGAGCTAGTCATAAGCACACTGCCCAGGTAGCAAAATTTATCTATTCTTATAAAGAGTAAATTATTTCAAATACTTAGGGACAACCATCGCGTACAATGAAAGATCTGACAACGAAGTAAAAACCAGAATAGCTGCTACAACTAGAAGCCTAGTAAACCTCAAAAGTACATAGAAAAATACAATTATATCAATCACATCTAAAAACTGACTGCTACGAGTGATACAGTGAGGGAAAAAAGTATTTGATCGCCTGCTGATTTTGTACGTTTGCCCACTGACAAAGAAATGATCAGTCTATAATTTTAATGGTAGGTTAATTTGAACAGTGAGAGACAGAATAACAACAACAAAAATCCAGAAAAACGCATGTCAAAAATGTCATAAATTGATTTGCATTTTAATGAGGGAAATAAGTATTTGACCCCCTCTCAATCAGAAAGATTTCTGGCTCCTAGGTGTCTTTTATACAGGTAACGAGCTGAGATTAGGAGCACACTCTTAAAGGGAGTGCTCCTAATCTCACATTGTTACCTGTATAAAATGCACCTGTCCAAAGAAGCAATCAATCAGATTCCAAACTCTCCACCATGGCCAAGACCAAAGAGCTCTCCAAGGATGTCAGGGACAAGATTGTAGACCTACACAAGGCTGAAATAGGCTACAAGACCATTGCCAAGCAGCTTGGTGAGAAGGTGACAACAGTTGGTGCGATTATTCGCAAATGGAAGAAACACAAAAGACCTGTCAATCTCCCTTGGTCTGGGGCTCCATGCAAGATCTCACCTCGTGGAGTTGCAATGATCATGAGAACGGTGATGAATCAGCCCAGAACTACACGGGAGGATCTTGTCAATGATCTCAAGGCAGCTGGGACCATAGTCACCAAGAAAACAATTGGTAACACACTACGCCATGAAGGACTGAAATCCTGCAGCGCCCGTAAGGTCCCCCTGCTCAAGAAAGCACAGATACATGCCCGTCTGAAGTTTGCCAATGAACATCTGAATGATTCAGAGGACAACTGGGTGAAAGTGTTGTGGTCAGATGAGACCAAAATGGAGCTCTTTGGCATCAACTCAACTCGCCGTATTTGGAGGAGGAGGAATGCTGCCTATGACCCCAAGAACACTGTCCCCACCGTCAAACATGGAGGTGGAAACATTATGCTTTGGGTTTTTTTTTCTGCTAAGGGGACAGGACAACTTCACCGCATCAAAGGGACAATGGACGGGGCCATGTACCGTCAAATCTTGGGTGAGAACCTCCTTCCCTCAGCCAGGGCATTGAAAATGGGTCGTGGATGGGTATTCCAGAATGACAATGACCCAAAACACATGGCCAAGGCAACAAAGGAGTAGCTCAAGAAGAAGCACATTAAAGTCCTGGAGTGGCCTAGCCAGTCTCCAGACCTTAATCCCATAGAAAATCTTTACATGCGTTTTTCTGGATTTTTTATTGTTATTCTGTCTCTCACTGTTCAAATAAACCTACCATTAATATTATAGACTGATAATTTATTTGTCAGTGGGCAAACGTACAAAATCAGCAGGGGATCAAATACTTTTTTCCCTCACTGTAGTTGTTTCTACAGTGCTGCCAAGCAGGGACACTTTAATACAGAGACAAAATAAGATATAACCATTTGAGATACAAGGCTTAGACTACTATGAAAAATACCACACACATTATTGCGCAAACATATCAGTTCTATCACAAAATATTCGTTGATGAGATTAAAGAAAACTGCAATCGACATGTGATACAGAAAGAGGGACTATCCAGGGCATGGGGGCAGTAAAATTAATGAGGATGACCCAAGATCAATCATATGACAAATGTGATAACACAATCTGATAAGTCAGTACAATGCCTAATAAAGACTATGAAGGGCTGGCAAAAGTTTGATAATTGATGGCCAAGGCATCAGTGGTACCCTCACCACCATTATGGTTAAATGATAGGTGATGATGATCATGACTTTATTACCAAGCATTGAAATTTGTACATATTTCACCATTAATTTCAGTAATATTGACTCGTAAAATAAAATACCTTTAACCTATTTTTTATTTGTAAAAATTTTCAGGTTGATGGAAATGGATACTTCACTTTCCGCCGGAGTGAGCTTACACAGCTGTTTTTTGCCAATACCTCAGAAATATATTATCCAACAATCTCAGTCGTCATTACCGATGACGCAACAGGTATGTATGTTGAACTTTTTTCGCGCTGTATGTAGCCAACCATGCTAATCGGAGGTGCATATATTTGTCATCTCATTGCACATATAGATTATTCGCTAAATATTTTTTTGTGATTTTCTTCAACAATGAATCCACCATTGAGGTGATGTAGTAACGTATAAAGTGTTATTTACACAGAACAAAATGTGAATTTTAGTTGCATTGTGGATGCATATATGAGTTTGATCAACACAGCAATAAAAATAAGCTCTTAACTAGTTTCACAGTTTCTAGCCTTTCAAAAAAAACTACATTAATAATGTATACATTGGTTATGGCCGAGGGTTTGTTTATCAAACCTGCATTAAATGTGTCAATGGACAATGCTTAGTGTGTAAATATAAGTGTTTAATTGCTATCAAACAATGTCATGTCAAGATATTTTAAAGTATAACAATATTGTAGATATTTACTAAATTGTGTAGGTGTATCCATGGATAGTGGATAATTTTTAAGTAACAAAAAGAAGGAATATGATGTTATCCATACAATGGCTTTTACTACAAATTGGGCCCTATTCCATCATTCAAATCTATGCTGGATCAATGCCTAATCAAGTCGTCTCAATCTACCACGAATCTATAATATAACAATCCAACTAACTCGTGCACATGTTCTGATCTCATCAAACTATCTCTACAATGGTCAACCTCTGGGATGTATTACCTCCTTGGCCATTAGTCTTGACGAAGTCATAATTTCCTCTGGTCAAGCCCACTTACTTTTTGTAACAGTCAAGATTATGTTTTTGACGATGTTCTCCAATCTTACTCAACATCGTGTGTGAAAATTTTCCGTCCACCAAGTTGCCAGTTTGATATTTTCACGCAAGTATATTCAAGCATATTAATCTCACCATATTTTGAGGATTGTATTTCAATCCAGTTCAAGAAATTACCACGGCCATTGCCATACTACCATAGACTCGCTGCAATTTCCCTGCTTCATCTGCACAGTCATCTTCACGTATCCTGGTGCAACCTGCTCTTCTTGACAAGTCTCAATGCTTTCATTGCACTTTGTATTATGCACGTATATGTGTCTTACCCTTTCCCATTGGGAGATTCAGAATATCCCCTGTATGTGTCCAAATGCACATGCCAGATTTATTTTTCAAGTTTGAGATGTGTTTCTTTACAGCTTTAAGCAGGCGTTAATGTGTCGCTGTATGATTGGGTGAGCTGAAATTTAACAAATCAACTAAAACATGCTTCTAGTCTTTAAATATATGAATTGGCATTCACCAAAGGTGAAACATATAGTTTATTGCTTAACCCCACTCATATATTTCAATTATATCACGCCTTAAATATTTTTGTTTTGAAATTTGAATCTGGTATTAAGTTATTTTATAAATGGTTGGCAGTTGTTAAGACGACGTAGCATTTGTGCTGATATTCTGCTTATTGTTGTTGATCTTAAAGGCATGAGAATGGAAAAAAACACCAGGGTTAGTTTTTCAAAGAACAGAGTTGAAATTTATTTCTATGGGAATTGGAGATTCATTCCTGGAATTAACTTTAAAAGTCATGTAAGTATATTTTCAAGAATAGTATTTTATTATTCTAACTATTGTCAATGTGCTTCAAGAACTTTACTCAAAATTGGAAGTTTTCAGGTTAACATTTATGTTTTGAGTCAGTTCAGTCTATTCAATCTCTGGGGGCAATAAAATAAGTACCCCTCTCTAAGAAGCCATAATGAAATCCAAAATGTAGAATGGCTCCTGTCACGACAATGTATAATGTCCACCGCTAGTTCAAGACACCCATCATTGCTCAAATGAGCAATGCTGGCTATTACATTGCAATACTACAAACTGTAAATAGAAGTTTACATGTTTTATTGCAATGACAACTTACCCATAACCTCAGCTCTCAACGAAGTACCTCGACACTGACTCAAGTTCCAATCCACCTTATGGTATCCCGCTGAATCACACCAAGTTCCAGAGACCGTGTGTTGGTGTAACCATCAACCTCATCAGAACATCAACAGGCTGCTGCACACATCTCTTTCATGAATAAAAAAATTAAAGACAAGCCACATTGCAACTGTGGTGATGTAACCCAAACTATGGACCATATAGTAAACCACTGTAGTCTATGCTGCTTTAGCGGAGGAGTAGCGAAACTATACAAACTCTACTCTTTGGTTCTATTCGGTAAAGTCACGTAGGTAAAAAATAAAACAACAAAAATCACGACGTTTCGGTCACAACACAAGCGGCCTTCATCAGGTGAAGGGATCAGGCTGTCTCGAGGACAGCGCTGGAGTGAAACACAGCCACGCTCAGACCCCGACCTTTAAGCTGTGTGCGAGGAAACAAGGTGCCTTGACAAAGGAAGTAGCATAAAAAATTAGCATTTGATTGGCCGACTTAGCATGATGAACGGTGTAGAGGTGGTGTACATGCGGGTGCACATTGCCGGTTGGCGCGGGGGGGGGGAGGGGGAGTTTACCTATTGATGGTGTGAAAAGGGAATTTTAAGAGCTGCGAAAGTTGGGGTACCACTACTTAAAAAATATTCTATACCATTGAAAATTTAGTTTAATGTTTGGTTCGATTTACAACATCTTTCCAATGGTTGCTTAATTTGAAAACATCTTCTCGGTTGAAATTGTGTCTGTGTTTGTAGATCTGAATTGCCTCGTGAACAAATCTCTGATAAAAACCCGCGGGTTTGCAAAGAACCTTGGTATCGGAGAAAATTATATCGTGATCACAAACAGCGTTGTAACAGTGATCAGCTACGGCAAAATAATTCGTTTTGCCGTGTTTCAAATCTGATTTGTGCTCGCGAATTCGGTCAGAGACATGTCGCTTTGTCTCCCCGATATAGCAAGCACCGCAGGTAAAACTCAATTTGTAAACCCCGGGGTACTGTAAGTCAGGAATGACATCCTTCACGGATGGGATCAGATCACGAATTTTGTGTACTGTATTGAACCGGACCTAGGATCTTGTGTTTGTTTAGAATTTTGGAAATCTTTTTAGTAACGTCCTGCTATATATGGTAGTGTGATGGTTTTCACCGGAGTATCAAGTGGTTGTTTCTGTATGGAGGGAGAAACAGCTTGGCGGATGGTACGGTCAGAGTATCCATTCCTTTTGAGGGCCAGGTGTACATGTTTTAATTCACTGGTCAGGTGGTGTTGGTCCGAAGTGCAATGAACCCTATGGTATAAAGTTTATGATGAGATAATTATTTTGGGCTGGGTGGTGGTGGGAATCAGGTTTCAAGTAGGAAATCTGTGTGGGTGGGTTTCCTGTAGACAGAATGCCCCAATGAGCCATCAGGTCTCCTCTCAAACAGAACATCTAAGAATGGTAGCTTGCCATCTTTCTCCACTTCCATGGTGAATTTGATGGCGGGATGTCTGGAATTGATGTGGTGTAGGAAAAGGTTCAGAGCTGGGAGGCCATGTGGACAAATGACGAAAGTGTCATCCACATCTCTCTTCCACAGGGAAGGTCTGAGGGTGGAAGTCTGGATGGCGTCTGATTCAAATTTCTCCATTAAAAATATTGGCTATCACTGGTGACAAGGGGGATCCCATGGGGGTACCCTCATTTTTTTTGTAGAAGGAGCCATTCCAAGTAAAGTAGGTATTGTTGAGGCAGTGCCTAACCAGTGCAGGTGTGTCAGGGTCTAGTCCATGTTGGACAAAAATTTAAATTATTTCAATGGTTTCAGGTACTGGGACCTTGGTGAACAAAGAGACCACATCGAAGCTGACAAGGATACCGTCAGGGGACAATACAACTTCTTTGACCATGGAGACCAATTGGGCTGAGTTAAGTACTGCTGAGGCGGTCTTACCAGTGAAAGGCAGCAAGGTATCTGACAGTAAACGGGCTAGTCTATAGGTAGGGGAGTTGATCGTGGATACGATGGGTCGTAGTGGGGTGCCTTCTTTATGAATCTTGGAAGACCATAGAATCTAGGAGTTCTTGCAGCAGAAGGATTTTAGGGAGGGACGTTTAGTTGGGTCGATTAGGGAGGTCGAACTTGTGATGATCTTGTTGGTTTTCATCGCTAGGCTATTGGTAGGGTCATTTTTAATTTTTGAGTAACTTCCATCGTTGAGCAGATTCTGGATTTTGTTGTTGTATGAATCTTTATCCATAATTACAGTAGCGTTGCCTTTATCGGCTGAGAGGATGACTATATCACTTCTGTTTTTTTTTAATTCGCGAGTTCAGAGCGTTCATTTTTGCTGATGTTACTAATGGGTTTCTTAGCATTCTTAAGAATAGTGGCTATTTCAGCTCTCGCAACGTCTGCTTGGATGTGTCCTACGCCTTTGAGGGCTACATCGACCTGAGAGATGATATCATCTACTGGTATGTGTTTTGGGGTGACAGCAAAATTCAGTCCCCTAGCCAGTACTGTTTTCAGATTGTCCGAAATCGGGGTGCTACTCTGATTAATGACGATTTTGTTGACGTCTAGTTTTGTTATATGTGGAACTGGGTTCTTCTTTGATAGGTGGTTGAATTTAGAAATCAGGTTAGCTTTACATTTGACTGACAGTGAATCAGCAGAAGAAGCAGTCATGTTGTCTACGTGATTCCAATCAGAAGGTGACATTTTTTGTGTTAACATTAAATGAGCTTGTAGGAGAGTCCTGTCTAAAGTATCGAGTTCAAATCGGAGTAGCCTTATCCTCTCCGAGATTAAAGATAGGCTGGCCTTAAACAGAATCTGTTTACAATTCGGAGAAGATACAGCAGAAGAAAGTGAGTGTGAAGGCGATGGGTATTACCTTGTGATCGCGGCATCTTTTGAGGTAGGTCAGCGTCTCGATGAGCTGTGACTTCTTGTCCCGTTGTCTGATAAAAGCTCTAACAGATAGGTGAAAGCCCTCTCCGTAGAGGTTATCAATTCTAAATTTAAAGCTTTCGTGACTGCAAGGATCCATACTCTTTGGTGGCCGAAACGTCGTGATTTTTGCTGTTTTATTTTTTACCTACGTGACTTTACTGAATAGAACCAAAGAGTATGGATCCTTGCAGTCATGAAAGCTTTAAATCTAGAATTGATAACCTCTAAGGGGAGGGCTTTCACCTATCTGTTAGAGCTTGTAACAGACAACGGGACAAGAAGTCGCAACTCATCGAGACGCTAACCTTCCTCAAAAGATGCCGCGACCACAAGGTAATACCCATCGCCTGCACACTCACTTTCTGCTGCTGTATCTTCTCCGAACTTCTAAACAGATTCTGTTTAAGGCCAGCCTATCTTTAATCTCAGAGAGGATAAGGCTACTCCGATTTGAACTCGATACTTTAGACAGGACTCTCCTACAAGCTCATTTAATGTTAACACAAAAAATGTCACCTTCTGATTGGAATCACAATAGACAACATGACTGCTTCTTCTGCTGATTCACTGTCAGTCAAATGTAAAGCTAACCTGATTTCTAAATTCAACCACCTATCAAAGAAGAACCCAGTTCCACATATAACAAAACTCGACGTCAACAAAATCGTCATTAATCAGAGTAGAACGCCGATTTCGGACAATCTGAAACAGTACTGGCTAGGGGACTGAATTTTGCTGTCACCCCAAAACACATACCAGTAGATGATATCATCTCTCAGGTCGATGTAGCCCTCAAAGGCGTAGGACACATCCAAGCAGACGTTGCGAGAGCTGAAATAGCCACTATTCTTAAGAATGCTAAGAAACCCATTAGTAACATCAGCAAAAATGAACGCTCTGAACTCGCGAATTTAAAAAAACAGAAGTGATATAGTCATCCTCTCAGCCGATAAAGGCAACGCTACTGTAATTATGGATAAAGATTCATACAACAACAAAATCCAGAATCTGCTCAACGATGGAAGTTACTCAAAAATTAAAAATGACCCTACCAATAGCCTAGCGATGAAAACCAACAAGATCATCACAAGTTCGACCTCCCTAATCGACCCAACTAAACGTCCCTCCCTAAAACCTTCTGCTGCAAGACCCCCTAGATTCTATGGTCTTCCAAAGATTCATAAAGAAGGCACCCCACTACGACCCATCGTATCCACGATCAACTCCCCTACCTATAGCCTAGCCCATTTTCTGTCAGATAGCTTTGCTGCCTTTCACTGTCAAGACCGCCTCAGCAGTACTTAACTCAGCCCAATTGGTCTCTATGGTCAAAGACGTTGTACTGTCCCCTGACGATATCCTTGTCAGCTTCGATGTGGTCTCTTTGTTCACCAAGGTCCCAGTACCTGATACCATTGAAATAATTGAAAATTTGGTCCAACATGGACTAGACCCCGACACATCTGCACTGGTTAGACACTGCCTCAACAATACTTACTTAACTTGGAATGGCTCCTTCTACAAACAAAATGAGGGTACCCCCATGGGATCCCCCTTGTCACCAGTGATAGCCAATATTTTCATTGAGAAATTTGAATCAGACGCCATGCAGACTTCCACCCTCAGACCTTCCCTGTGGAAGAGATATGTGGATGACACTTTCGTCATTTGGCCACATGGCCTCCCAGCTCTGAACCTTTTCCTACACCACATCAATTCCAGACATCCCGCCATCAAATTCACCATGCAAGTGGAGAAAGATGGCAAGCTACCATTCTTAGATGTTCTGTTTGAGAGGAGACCTGATGGCTCATTGGGGCATTCTGTCTACAGGAAACCCACCCACACAGATTCCTACTTGAAACCTGATTCCCACCACCACCCAGCCCAAAAGAATTCCCTCATCAAAACTTTATACCATAGGGCTCATTGCATTTCGGACCAACACTACCTGACCGGTGAATTTAAACATGTACACCTGGCCCTCAAAAGGAATGGATACTCTGACCGTACCATCCGCCAAGCTGTTTCTCCCTCCATACAGAAACAACCACTTGATACTCCGCTCAAAACCATCACACTACCATATATAGCAGGCGTTACTAAAAGATTTCCAAAATTCTAAACAAACACAAGATCCAGGTCCGGTTCAATACAGTACACAAAATTCGTGATCTGATCCCATCCGTGAAGGATGTCATTCCTGACTTACAGTACCCCGGGGTTTATAAATTGAGTTGTACCTGCGGTGATTGCTATATCGGGGAGACAAAGCGACATGTCTCTGACCGAATTCGCGAGCACAAATCAGATTTGAAACACGGCAAAACGAATTCTTCTGCCGAAGCTGATCACTGCTACAACGCTGTGGGTGATCACGATATAATTTTCTCCGATACCAAGGTTCTTTGCAAACCCACGGGTTTTTTTTATCAGAGATTTGTTCACTAGGCAATTCAGATCTACAAACACAGACACAATTTCAACCGAGAAGATGGTTTCAAATTAAGCAACCATTGGAAAGATGTTGTAAATCGAACCAAACATTAAACTAATTTTCAATGGTACAGTATATTTTTCAAGTAGTGGTACCCCAAATTTTCGCAGCTCTTAAAAATTCCCTTTTCACACCATCAATAGGTAAACTCCCCCCCCCCCCCAACGCCAAACGGCAAGTGCACCTGCACGTACACCACCTCTATGCTAAGTCGGCCAATCAAATGCTAATTTTTATGCTAATTCCTTTGTCAAGGCACCTTGTTTCCTCGCACACAGCTTAAAGGTCGCGGTCTGAGCGTGGCTGTATTTCACTCCAGCGCTGTCCTCGAGACAGCCTGATCCCTTCACCTCATGAAGGCCGCTTGTGTTGTGGCCGAAAAGTCGTGATTTTTGTTGTTTTATTTTTTACCTACGTGACTTTACCGAATAGAACCAAAGTGTGTGGATCCTTGCAGTCACGAAAGCTTTAAATCTAGAATACACAAACTCTCTCCTGCAGCCCTCTCGTGGCTAGCAGACACATCAACATTTGGCATTTAGCTCCTGAAAACATTGCCATACGTAATAATAGAATTGCTTATTGAGCAGAGAACCTTTGGTTATCACTTGTTCATTTCATCTTTTTTAAATTTTGTCTGAATAAAATTTACATGATTAACAGTTACTTATTATTGCTTTAAAATTAAACACTGTAATGCCGTAATTAAAAAAAATGTGATGTATTGCAATGTAATTTTAAGAAGGAAATTTCAAGCTCTAATTATTCTTTGTTTGCATACTTTACAGATAAGACTTTATCTGGTAGATGGACTGCCACTCACTTCAAAAGACCGAGAGACAAAGCTTACAGTGTCAGTCAAACAGTACATGTCAGGTATTGAGCAGATGAGTTGCCCTGGGATCAATAATGGATCTCAGATATTGGATCAAACTGATGCCAATTACACAGTGCCAACGAACGGAATTGTTTTCATCGATGTGCCAACTTCCAAAGAAGCAAATTTCCTGACTGTGGAGGTATGAACCATCCCAATGTATCAATAGTTAAATGTTTAAATGCAATGTAATCGAGGGGCTGTATTGTCTTGGTGTGGTCTAAAGATTGTTGTTTTACTGCATTGCCCAAAACTTGCAATTGTTCTTGACAAATTTTCAGGTACAGCAGTCCCTCGGTTAACGTTTTTTATGTTTTATGACAACTGTTGTTAACCAAAACAACCGTCAGGGGCCGTCCATAAACGACATCACGCGATTTTGAACGATTTTTGACCCCCCCCCTACCTCGTCACACGGCGTAACAAAAAGTCAGACCCCCCCCTCACATATGACGTCACAAAGCTCTGACCCCCCCCCCAAAAAAAATATAACTATTGCCATTGTAGTGCGTATTTAATGTGCCGCTGCACTCTGATGTTGTAGGAGAAAACATTTATTAAAAAGTCTATTTAATTAAGTAGAACGTGTTGTCTATATTTATTTAAAGTTGCGCATTTTTAAGTGACGTCACATTTCTCAACCCCCCCCCCCCCCCTCGTCACACATCGTGACAAGTGTCTGACCCCCGCCCCCGTAGATGCGTGACGTCATTTATGGACGGCCCCTTAGATCAAATTAGGAATTACATGTTAAAACATTAATCCGTTCCAACACGACCAGAAGTTGACTTTTTTTTACCCTAAAACATAGTTTATAAGGATAATTATTTTAATACTCTTTTTTCCTTTCGCGAATTCACTTTAGGGGCCATTGCAACAACTATTAATTCACTTATAAGTTGAAAAATAAGTAAAAACCAAGAGAGCTGTTTCCTCTGCCAAAACAGAAACCAATGTAAACAAAGCCAATTGAGGTGTAAACGCTCATAAATGGGCATCGTTGGTTGGCTGAGGCATGCTCAGCCAACTAAACGAGCGCTCGTATTGGCTGAAATTGGCGCCGCGTGTATAACGTAAAAATACCGTTAATCAAAATTTTAACTTTATTCGTAACTATAGAGTTCTACAGAAGGCGAAACGTGAACCGAAAAACTGCTAACCGATATCATTGTTAACGGAGGGACTACTGCATGTGTGTACTTCCACGCTCATATATATGTTTTGTGACTGGCTTAACTTTTATCTAGGTTACTCATGTAACCTTTATTGTATTTCTTGTTGATGTAACTTTTTGATCCACCCGACTGGACATCTGTGAAAAGAGCTTCATAACTCTTCAGTTTCCTCCAGTATAAATACATATTCTGATTCTGATGTACAGGCAATCCTTCACTCAGGATAAAGTGACTTTGGCTTTGCTTAGAATTGGCGTTGTCTAATGTGTCTATTCATGGTGTATTTATTGTGCTGCATCTAACAGGGTGTTTGTGTTTGTGTGCACATGTTTACATCAAGGCACGATTTGGTGAAGTTGTTGTTTGTAATTCGATATCAGCATGGATGAGTTTTCAAAATGGATCATTTTTGCACGTGACAGCCAGTGAAACCAATGTCAAGGTGAGAATCCTGATACTTGACACCATCGATTGTGTCTATTTCTGTGCTGAATATGGAATGTTGCTTATGACTTGTTCTTAAAGAAAGGAATTCTGCAGTGGGTGTTCAAATCACACATAACCAGGTGGAGCATAAGTTACTTGCCCTGATGGAATCATAACAGACACACTATAAATTTTGATTTAAGGCTTTCGTGACTGCAGGGATTCATATTCTTGGTTCTTTCAGTAAAGTCACGTAGAATGGAAACAATAAAATACAAATATAAAACAATAAAATTATCACGACGTTTCGACTGCAACACAAGCAATCATCATCAGGCGTGAAAACCACAGCAAGAACATTTTTCTTGCTGTGATAATTTTATTGTTTTATATTTTTATTATTTTATTGTTTCCCTTCTACGTGACTTTACCAAAAGAATCAAGAATATAGGCTCACACTGTTCACAATATGCGTCATTACTGATTTACAGGGTGAGTAATTCACTCTTCTCCCTGCACAATCAAGTCTGATATTCAAAAAATAAACGCACAATTCTTTTCCTTCATGTACTCACGTGTTCAACATGTAAACCTACATAATATAGAAGTTCTTACAATTACTTCACCTTTTACAAATTCAACCTCTGCTTTTTTCTTTAGGTTGGGAGCCCAGTTTCCTTCGCATTAAAAAGCTCGGACAGCAGCATCACCAAAGTGTCTTACCAGGTAATGCTGTTTTGCACTCTAAGCTACGTTTTTAGCTATATGCAGTCAAATATTTAAATACTCTGTGATTTACAACAGCAATCTACCTTGGGCCAACACTACCTGTTACAATAGCATGTTTGACACTTATTTCCTACTAGCGGGAAATACCCGGCGTTGCTCGGGGGGAAATATATTTCAAAACATCTCTTAAAAACACAACATATATACACAAATACTAAGCTAATGTGAAAGCCCGGCGTTCCATTTGCTTGTCCATTTGTCCAGCAAAACAATTATAAGAGGCTTGAAGAATTCCTGAATGTAAAAGTAATAGAAAGTTGTTTAAAAAGGTTTCTGAAAATTGTCGACCCCCTCCCCATAAAAACGATTTTTACCCCCCCGTAGGCATATATACCTACACACCCTACATACAATATAGTGAGTAGTGTCTAGTGACTGTAGCAGTATCTGCTAACTACAGCAGTATCTCTTGACTGTATAGTCGTATCTACCGACTCTGCAGCAGTATATACTGGCTATAGTGGTATCTACTGACTGTAGTATTATCTACTGACTATAGTAGTATCTACCGAGCCTACAGAAGTATCTATAGTAGTAACTACTGACTCTATAGTAGTATATCATAACTGTATAAGTATTTACTGACTGTAGAAGTATCTACTAACTCTACAGTAGTATCTACTGACTGAATAGTACTATCTACTGACTCTATAGTAGTAACTAATGACTCTATAGTATTATCTACTGACGATAGTAGTATCTACTAACTGTAGAAGTATTTACTGACTATACTAGTATCTACTGACTGTAGAAGTATTTACTGACCGTAGTAGTATCTACTAAATCTACGGTAGTATTTACTGGCTCTATCGTAGTATGTACTGACTGCAGTAGTATCTTCCGCCTCTGTTGTCGCATGTACCACCTCTATAGTTGTAGCTACTGATGATAGTTGTATCCACTGACTATAATAGTTACTACTATAGTAAAAACAGACAAACACACGATGACAGAGACCACCACAACTACCACCACCGTGTGGTGGTAGTTGTGGTGGTAGTGGTGGTATCATAGACTGGTGTTGGTTCGTAGCGAGCAGCAGCACCTATGAAGTATGGACACACACAGACACAACAACAACAACCGGCATTCGCCAGTGGCGGTGACGTCACCACGACGCTTGTGCCAGGCTATGTGCACCTTGAGGCCAAGTGAAGTGTCGAACGCCCGCTGGTAGGAGGTCACAGGGCAGACCCAGCAGGTGCTATGGGTCCACTGACTGAGATAACTGAGATGACTAGCTGATGCATCACCTGTGCCCCCTACTGTGCCAACTTGCTGTGCATTAGCAAACCGGCGCTCCGCTCGTTGTTGTGAGCATTGCTCCTCCGCCCTCCGTTGTTGTTGGAGGGCGACTGCCTCCAACTGCCCAGTAGCGTCCTTCACGAGCCTCCTCCACAGAGGCCGATCTTGACACCGCTGGTACCAGTCATCGGCAAGTCCACTCAGCTCCACATCCTACTATACCACGTCATGCCATCTTTTCTCTAGCCAGTACCACGCCAGTTTTGCCCCCTGGATCCAGCCGAACAAAAGCTGTTTAGACATGCGGTGGCTGGGCATGCGGGCTACATGACCCAGCCAACGCAGCCTTGCCTGCCGGAGGAGCTCACCGATGGGACTTTGCCCAGATCTTTCAAGGATTTGTGAGCTCCTCAAACAATCCAGCCTGGTTAAACCCAGGATGGATCGTAGGCAGGCCAGCCATGTTTCTAACCGGCGAAGATGTTCCATTAGGGGCGTACACGCTTCGCAAGCATGGAGAAGGGAGGAAATGACTGTGGCCGAGAAGACCTGAAGCTTCGTGTGGAGCGAGAGATCAGGTAGCTTCCACACAGCGTTACACAATCGATGAAAAGATAATGCCACTCGACTGATTCGGAGTGAGACCTCTGCTTTTAAACCGGAGCCAGTCATGAGCACACTGCCAAGGTATGGGAAACTCTCTACTCTCTCTACAACTGCCCTATCACCAATTGGTAGTTGTGGGGGTGGAGTGACTGATGGTACAGCACCTTTCCCAGCACACTGAGGAGCGAGATGCCCCTGTAGTTGTTACAGTCTGTGTGGTCCCTCTTCTCAAAGAGGGGGACCGCAAGGGCATCCTTCCAATCCTGTAGTCCAGACTGTTGTTATGATGTCATGTAGGGCAGTCTGTGCACAAACGCCACCCTCCCTCAGCATTTCGCTTGGGAGATCATCTCTGCCCGGTGCCTTTCCTGGTCTTAGACTCTGGATCACCTTCAGTACTTCCTCAACAGATGGCACCTCAGCCAGCCACTCACAGGGGGTGACTTCTTCTTCCAATATTTGAGGCACTGCAGCCTCGGCAGGGTCATCCCCATTTGTCCCACAATGTTTTCCAGACTGAGGGATTTCCCCTTCCCCATAACCTCACAGAAATGCTCAGGAAATCTGCGAACCTGTTCCTGGGGGTCGGAGATTGGATCACCGCTCTTTTTGCTAATGATGTTAATAGGTGCGGCGCTGCAGGTTACTTTTTTGATGGAATTAAAGAGAGATTTGTGATCACGTGCCATTGAGGCAGACTCCATCTCCTCAGCGACCAGCGACCACCACCCATCCTTGCAGCGCCTCACGGCTCTCTGAACCTCCGAGCGAAGGCTGCGGTAAGCTTCCTCATTCTCAGACGTGGGATGCTGTAGCCGATGAGAGTGGGCCTGTCGCTTTTTCTCAGCCAGCCTGAACACCTCCTTTGTCAGCCAGCGTCTCTGGGGAGGTCTGGACCGTGTACCCAAAGCAGCCATTGCAGCTGCATGAGCCACTGTCCTAAACCTTGCCCATTTCCCCTCGATATTAGGAGGAGTCGGGGACAATGCCAACCCCAGCTTCAAGCGATGATGAACTTCTCGCTTGCAACTTTCATCAGCTAGCTGAGACCATGCCACTATGGGTTTGAATGGGGTCCTGGGTGTACACCCATCACCGGAGTGAAAGAGTGGCAGGCGCATCTTAAAGATGACAAGTCGATGGTCAGTGGGCAGATCATCTCCACGGTAGGTCCTGGTGTCAAGGACATGGGCCCGCATCCGCTGTTCCATCACTATGTAGTCAATCAGATGTTCTTGCTTGTACCCGGCATGCATCCATGATGTTGTGTGGATGCGCCAATGCCGGAACAGAGTGTTGGTAATTACAAGCCCATGGGCTGCCCAACACTCTAGTAGCTTCCTGCCGTTATTATTGAGCTGATCTGGCCCATGCCTTCCAATCACTCCAGACCAGGTACCAACATCATGACCACCTCGGGCATTGAAGTCACCCAACAGGATGACTCTATCCCGAGGGGCCACTTTAGCGAGCACCTGTGAAAGGAGGTCAAAGAAGGTATCTGACTCATCGGCCTTGCCTGCATCCCTCCACGGATGTTCGTCTTCGGTGGGGGCATAAGTAACCACGATCACCACTGCTCACCTCTATTTGATGGGAAGGCGAGCCCAAAGTAGCCTGGGGCTTACAGCTTCCCACAACTCACCGCCACACTCTGACACACTCTTCATTCTTTTGTTCAGAAGAACAGCCACTCCTTGTTGTTTGGCAGTCTCCTGCCCCAAGTAGAGGACTGTCCACCCCTCATGGTGGCGGGAGCCAGAGCCGGTCCACCGGACCTCCTGAATACCACAGAGATCCAGGCGGTACCGGCCCAGCTCCCGACAAAGGAGTGGTAGCCTCTCCTCCGCAGTGAGCATTCAAACATTCCACGTGGCCACACGTAGTGGTTTTTTGTTGTTTCTGGAGGAGCCCCGATGGTAAGGATTCAGTCTCCTGGCTCCGCCAATTGGGGTTGGACCAGGAGACGTCATAGACGCCTGTCCCCAAGGGGCTTCCAGCACAAGTTTAATTTAAGGTGGAGGGAATACCAGCCCCTAGCACCCGTCCAGAGCCCCTATTTGGTCGCTGTGGTGGTTACACGCGCCATGAGGGGAATGGCCAATTTAAGTTGGCCCTCCCCCAACGGCACTGTCAACCACAACGTTGCTGTCTGGCACCACGAGGAAGTAGTGGGTTGTTTTTGGCGGACACACACACAGACACACACACAGACACCACACACCACACAGACACACACAGACACCACACAAATCATACACAGACACACACACACAGACACCACACACACACAGACACCACACACACACAGACACCACACAGACACAGCACACACAGACCTAGTGAGGCCTAGTCCCATGCAGAGCCCC